TGAAGATGTTTGAGTCTTATACTCTCTGAAGGAATAGAGAGCAAGCACAATTATTGAAGGTTGTTCGAGTCTTATACTCTCTGAAGGAATAGGGAGCAGACACGATTGTTGAAGATTGTTCGAGTCTTATACTTTCTGAAGCGATAGGGAGCAGACACAATTGATAAAGATGTTCGAGTTCTATACTCCCTAAAGAAAGAGAGAGCGAACCCGTAAGAAGAATGTGTTCAAGTTCTATACTATCAAGTTTTAAAACAGAGATGGAACTGGACAAAAAGGCAATGTCTTTTTTATCTTTGCCCTATTCTTGTTAACACAAGAATGAGCAAAGAGGGGCAGTTGTAGACACCCGTTTTGTCCGGTATATAATAATAATAATAATTATATTATTAATACTATTAATATTGTTTATTTTTATTTGTTGTAGACCCATACTCGTTCCAGTTCCAGCTGCCAGCGCCGCACGCCAATCATGCCACCATCAAAGCCATTTTTATCAACCTACACCAACAAATCCACTAAAAGTTGAAGCAAATTTCCAAAATTCCCCAAACCTAACCCATTACCCTACTATTACCCATATTTCATGTGAAGCCTACACCAAATCAATTAAAAATTATCATTAAAGCCAAAGTCACCTAAACCCATTAGTATCCATCAATTATGCATGCAAAGACAAAAATAAAAAAGGCAGCACCTATCACTCCACTACCAAGATTCAGTGGAAATCAACATATTTCAAAGATGTAGTGAGGTATAGCACGTGGAATCAAAGGATAAAAAAGGAAGCAAAAATAGAAATAAAAGGGGGGCTCATTTTTTTCTATAGAAGGAAATTACAACAGCAAAAAGGGGGCTCTCGGCAATTAAAGGGATTCACGAACAACAGAGGAGGGATCATCAACAACAGTTCGAAACTAGCAAGCAAGAGAGAGGAATGAAGAAATTTAATCAGGGGATTTTTCGAACAAAGGGGAGGGGAATTACATTGTGAGTAGGTTGGTTGTAACATGAAAGAATGTAATTGTTCTCATTTGACAAAAAAAAATACAAAGCTAGAATTCGATTTTCAAAGCTATTTTTTATGATTTTTTTCATAAGTTCTTTCCTTTCATTTTGACATCGTTTCTATTTTAAACAAAAATCATTGTTGAGAGGGTTCAACGAAAAACACAAAACAGCCTAAAACAAACCAATCAAAACCTATCGTCATTAGCCACAGCCAAGCAAAAATAAACCAAAGGAAGAGAGTAAACGCATACATGGTCTGTTCGAGTGCCATTGAAGGAGAAACCCACTGCCGTCGGAGTTGGGTGAGTATATGGTGAGTTGTTTGCACCCTTTGCATGTCATTTTTTCGGTTTGGTTACCATTTATCGGGATTTCTAAACCAAAAAAAAAGAGGTGGATAAGGGTTAGGTCCTTACCTTAATGTCACCGGCTCTTATGGCTGGATTGGTGGTCATTGAGGTTGAGAGAGTTAGGTTTAGGGTTGGAAGTTTTTGGTGAAGATGTTTGAGGGTCGGTTCAACCCCTTATCGGGGTCATGACGGGGTGGCCTGTGATGGCCTTGAGTCTTGTAGTTATCTCGGTCGAAAGGGGAGGAATGTTGAGAGGGAACAGAGTATTCGTGAAAGCTTTAAGTTTTGTAGTTCTCTGCGATTGATGGCCTGCCGTTTGTGTTGAGGGAGAGAAATCGAAGAAAGAGAGTAGGGTGAGAGGTTCGCCGAGCGTTTGCTGGTCGAGAAGAGGGAGAGTGTGAGATGGGTAGAGACAACGACGCTGGGGAGTGTGAAGAAAGCAAATGAGAGTTAGGGTTAAACTTCCATAAGTTTGGTATATATGTGTGCATTAAAACTATAGTGTTCTGTTACCCCGTTTCGCGCATGGATTAATCAACTTAGGGGTCACCCAAGGTTTCGTTTTAAGTCATTTTAATCCTAGTATCGAGTATTTCATATTCTTAATCTTGTTACTTTATTTTACTCGCATTTAATTATGATCCTACAATGTATTGTGTTTAACTTTCTCTATTTTAGACATTAGAACTTTAAGTTTTACATGTTACATTTTATACCTCAGTTCGAGTTTTATATGCTTTTAATTTAGTCTTTGTATTTAGTGCGTATTTAATTTTAGTCCTAGAATGGAGTCTAGTATTTTTAATTTGTTCTTTATATTTTACGAGTATTCAATTTTAGTCTTGAGTGGTAATGTATTTAACTTCTGTTCTTTGTACATTTGATTTGTATTTTCTGCATGTTTCGTTTTAGTCCCTAGCTTGAAGTTTGCATGTTTCTAATTCTGTCTATTTATTTTATGTTAATTTAATTTTCGTCCTAAATGTTGATTTGTTTCATTTCTATTGTTTAGATTTTAGACTTTAAGGTTTTTGCATGTTACATTTTAGTCATGCGGGTATGTTATTTTAAGTTTCTGTGATGTTGCATATTTGGCATAGCGTTTTCCCGATTTTCATTTTAGTTTTATAGGTGGTCTCGGTTCTACTTTGATCTTAGAATATGTAATGCATTGATAGGATTTTTTTTGGTGATATTTGTTTAATAGTGATTTTAGCTTTAGATTTATTTACTCATTTATTTATTTTAATCGCATGTTTAATTATTTTTTACATGACATCCTTTTTGCATAATTTGCACGATATCCTCATATGCATAACTCGACACGATTACATAATTTAACTAAGGGTAATATCCTTTTAATTTAAAACTGTTTAAGTGGGTTGTCTTAACTGATTAGATATCCGCTTTTAACGATTTTAAATTAAAAGTGTATCTCATCACTGACACCTAAGAAATTGATTTATCACTTTAATTTGGGAACAGAAGAAAAAAAATATTCGACTATTTAAATTTATCGAGAAAGATAGTTAGAACTTATCTAAGATCTGGTCTCGATACTTGTAAATAATCGAATATTTTTTATCTTTCTAAGGCCTGGTAATTTTAATTTAATCTATTTTGGTGCTTTTGAATGTTGTAAAATTCATGTGTTGTTTTGTTGGGGATCATAAACCAAATTTAAATCGAATTTGTAAATTTCATTGCAAAGACATTAATTAATCGATGAGGTACCGATTTAGGGCGTTGTGGGGCTACTAATCATTCCCCACGCGTAACCGACTCCCGAACTCATTTTCTAGTGACGCAAACCTAAATTTGTTATTTTAATTAAAATTAATTTTTATTTAAAATGACAAAACATTTTTGGGTGTCCAATCACACCCTAATCAAATATTGGTGGCAACTCTTCGAACCTGTGTTTTTATCGTGAATGAATTCACAAATTTTCGAAATGAAAGGTTTTCTAAAATCACATTGTTTTAATTAAAAATTGTAATCTTAAGAGAATAATTCAAAATGATACGGTTTCCAAAATCTCGCGCCCCCTATTGAAAAAATCGTTTCGACAGTGTCAATCAAACATGAACCATCATCGGTAGTGATAAAGGAATTTAAAAATTTACAACTTAATTTAAGATTAAAAATCGATAGTGATAGCATCGCATAATATTTTAAACTATAACTGAAAATATTATCAAAACATTTAAAATTTTAGTTTGCAACCTAAAATATTACTGAAATCATAACAAACTATATAAAAGAGGTAACATTTCACACTGCAACCTAAAATGTTACCTTTAATATTAAGTTTGAATTAATTTTAAACTTATATAACATTTTAAATTGCAACCAAAAATATTTTCAAAATATATAACATTTTATATTGGTGCGAGTGACCCTCTAGGTTGATACCTTATAATTTTTCCGTTAACCGATAACAAATAACTGATAAACAGACTCGTCTCAATAAATTTAGAGGCTTTGTGCTATCTTTTAAAATAAGGTCCCTAAAATATTTTATAATAAGACGAGCTTGTAAAATATAAAAAAATTTGTCATATTACGATTATTTTTTATAAAATAAAATAAAAATCATATCATATGAAACTAAAAAATGTTACAAAATAACTTTATAATCGTGACATTTTATTTAAAAAACGTCATCACTTAAACTCTCTTCAAATAAAATAAAGATATTTTTAAAATGTGAACCTTAAATTTTAAGATCCTGTAACGTATCACAGTTTACATTTGTTGATAGACAAATCTGCCGATAAAATTGATCACATCATTTTTCATTCGTATTTTAGATGCCGTACAACTTGCTCACCCTGATCTACACCGTGATGTATAAAATAAATAGTTATGATTCCATCTTCCTTGGACGAAAAAGGCTTCATAATTTGCATGGGTTTGGGCTTTGCAGTTAGTTGGGTTAAGGGGAATATGAACGTTTTTCATGAGCAGAAACACCTTGTTTAGTTTAGTTAAAGATCAGTCTCGTCATTGTAATATCCGATCCAAATTAATCGATTAACAGATCAGATATCAATAATTAATTTAAAAAAAAAACCAGCCTCATAAAATGATTATCTATTTAAAGCCACTGAAACAGAGAGGAGATCAAAAAGGTGAAAAGTAATGGCTTTGGCACACACCCTTGTCTTCAACTACAACTTCAACCATCAGTTTGTCAAAATCAAGTTATGTTCAGATTCAGCTCAAACAAAACCAAAGAAGCGTTGCTTGAGGTGCAAAACTCTCTTTTCCGATGCTGATAATTCCCCTACTGCTTGCTCCTTCCACGGCCATGCCACTGGTATCTTCTTTCTTTCTTTCTATCCAAACCCAATACAAAGATTTGCTATGAACTGATTTGGTTGTTTGCAGGGGAGAAAGGATTGTTTGCATTGGCTCCACCACACCAGGGCATTGATGGACGGCTATGATCTACGACGATGGCTTCACTTTGTATTAGAATTTACATACTCGGCCAAGCTGGTGTGCTACTGCTACTACTGCATGCCTCTTAATCTCGTTGTTGATTTCTTTCTTTTAAAAAACTGGTTTTATACTGACAGAAGAACCCGTTGATCTTGAAATCCGAATTTCTTTATGTTAATTGTTCATCGACTCACTAACGTTTAAAATAAATTGCATTGGTATACATATATTTAGTATACAATTAATAAGCGTGAAGCTTAAATCCCAACAATTACAACTATTTTCTTTACCTCCATGTTACTAAGAAATACAAAAATTTCATAACAAAGGCTAGACTATCCAGAGAACAATCTGGTGAAGAAATTTCCAGATTTGGAGTTTTCCAAGCATGCCACATGAACATATCTTCCAAACTTGTCAACTTGCCTTGCCTCACCTCTTGTATCTTTCTTGCACACCTTGCATGTTTTGTCCACCCACCCTTCTTCCACATATTCTCCATCCACTGCTCTCAATTCCAGTCCATACATATATATTCAACAAAATAAAAAACGTTAATTAATGAAAAAAAAAGAACCCAAAATTATATCCAAACCCCCCATAATACTCATATGCATACCTTCAACATAGGATTTGAAGAAATCCTTGTATGTCCCTCCAATTTTCCTTCTCAGAGCACCATACTGCATGCATCAAACAGGAAAAGTGTTGACTGGTTTTGATTCATCAAGAGGAACAGAAAGAAAGAGTTGTAATTAGAATGGAAGTGTCACCTGTTCCCTTGACATTCTCCCACCTGACCTGGTGGCTTCTCTGGCCTCATCCAAGAGCTCGGCATCCTTTCCGGACCTAACTTGAGAGAAATCCAGAGCCTCCGTCACACTGCTAAACAAAGATTGTTTGCTCTTCTTCTTTGCCTCTTCTCCCTCACCCTTCTCCTCTTGTTGTTTAGCTGAAACTCTAAACATAGTTTGGGAACTCTTGCTTCTTAACCTTTGGCTGCGAATATGTTGCTTGGGTATAATGCTTTGTGAAAGTGACAATGGAAGAGCCCTTAGTCCCATGATTGCTTTGCTTTTGGCAGAGAAGTCGGAACCAACCGGCAATGGCCTCCTCCACACGGCTAACCAAGATAGCCTTATATATATATATAAAATGATAGTCACCTGGTGAATTTGGTGGCTAGAGGTTCAGTACGTGGCCCTTTCTCCAACTATTAAAACTGTGAGGTACAAGTATATATGAACAAAGCAGAAATATCTTGACAAAAATTGTGGCCAACAGCAGGCAGGGATTATAGATTAATCGCACTCCACAAGTTGTAAAGGGTAGTTGCATGGTGTTTTGAGTGTGGACCGTGACAACAGCAACAATATAATTCTTTACAGGCCAGCTATGGCATACAAAGCTACAAAAACTACGTAGATCAGAGGCTTATACCACATAAACCATGCCGACCTCTAGTAAAGATACTGGTGGAACCTTCAGTGCCACATCTGGTCCACGGCAGTTCCTTCTCAAGAAATTGTACCCGAAATTGATGGCCAATCTCTTCAAAACGGATGATCCTTGCTTTGTTCGAACATGAGAATGGCCTAGTATGAATGCAGTCCCGGCTTCTTGAGCTGCTAACAGATCTTGTATCTCTTCTCAGAACTGCAACTCCATGTCGATCCGGACATCAGATTCAGAGTCATCGTCAATGGCAAATCTAACTCTTCTTTCGGCAGCACGCACAGGCTCCATTTCAATGACATCTGTGACACTTTCTACGGTTGAGAATCCAACAGACACACTTGCCGGTTGCATGCTTTCCTCAATCTCGTAAGCTGGTGTGCCAGAAAATGCAGTTGTCACTATCACGGTTAATCTACATTCACTTGTGATTCGTTTGAGTGGGTGACGACATCATCCTCAGCGTGGGGACTGTTCTGGCTTAGATATCAATCATAGTGAATGAAATCAGCCAATTTGGAAACCAGTTCCGATTCAAAAGAATCAACATCCTGATGCACATCCCGGTAACCATAACGAACAATGCACCTATAAGACCGATGAGCAGAAGGACCTACACGGCCCACAAGATAATGCTCAGCTGGGGGCACCAAAGGGACAGGTACTGATTTAACACACACAAAGACAAGAACACAATGGAAGGCAGGAAGGTTAGTGACAAAACGAGAAAATTTGGCGGGGATTCCAGAGATGAGATCGGTAAAAACTAAGCCGATACCCGGTACTCGAGCAATTCCTAGCTTGGACCCAATTCTAATAGCCATTCTAATGATACCTTATTGTGGAGATCAAATTCATATTTCTTGATGGTCGCATAATGCCATACAAACATGATTGTCATGAGGAAAAGGGCCAAGAGAATAGGGAGCCAAGCCCCTTCAGTGAACTTGGTGAGTGAAGCTGAGAAGTATAGCAACTCAATAGAACCAAAGAAAAGAAGAACCAAAAGAGCTACAATTGGGGGCTTGTGCCAATAGAGTATAATAACCAGGGAAGTGAGGCACGTCGTCACCAGCATCACGGTCATCACTGCCAATCCTGAAATGAATAAGAACAAAATTCTAATGCATCGAGCTTTCGGTTTATTCTAACATAAAAAAGTCTTCCTTAAAATCATTTCCTGTCGATATTCACTTTTTTTTTTTTGATAGGAATAGGAGGTCTCATTAAAAACCTCCCTCTTAGTGGACCTTATCCGTAAGGTAAGGCCCAACTAGCGGAAGGAGGAAAAGAGTACCTCAATTTATTAATGAAAGCCAAGTTACATAAGACTTAAAAACACTTTTACATACAACATAAGACCTCACACACTCCTCTAGCTTCTAGGCTCAGAAACAGATACCAACTGAAACAGCCAAAAAAATCACCCGATCCCCTCTTTTGCTAGCTTGTCAGCCTCACAATTACAAGACCTTGGAATCCACCTGACAATAAAATTTCTAAAAGAAACAATAGATACAATTTCCTTAACAAAATTTGAAAGGGAAGGAGGAACCAAAGCTTGATCTTTGATCCAATCCACGACTCACATTCAATAATGAGTCTGCCCTTGAACAACCATTCTGAAGAAACAAAGATATCAATGCCTCTTTTAACAGCTTTCAATTCTGCTAATAGGGATGAGAAGGACCAACATTTTCTGAAAAAGAGATAAGTATAACCCGATTCCAATCCCTGAGAAGACCCCCTATTCCAACAACTCTCCCAACTCTACTAAAAGCCCCATCTACATTCAATTTAAAAAAATCTACAGGAGGAGGAATCCACCAGCACCCAGGTCTAAATAGTTCCTTACTATCTGCCAAGGAAGGATCACCAATTAAAGAATCCACCTTAATATAGGAAAGAGGATATTTTGCTAGAACCATCTTGCTAGCCTTAAGCGAACAGTGAAAAACAGTGAAAAACTTGTCTAGTTTACCATTATCAAAGATATTTCATTTCCGATTCTCCAAATTGACCATAGCACACCAACCGGAATAAACTTCCAATAACCGAAGAAGGCCTCAATCAATCTGCCAAGGAAGGATCACCAATTAAAGAATCCACCTTAATATAGGAAAGAGGATATTTTGCTAGAACCATCTTGCTAGCCTTAAGCGAACAGTGAAAAACAGTGAAAACTTGTCTAGTTTACCATTATCAAAGATATTTCATTTCCGATTCTCCAAATTGACCATAGCACTACACCCGGAATAACTTCCAAATAACCGAAGAAGGCCTCAATCAGACCAAGAACTAAGTAAGGAAGGAGGGTCAACTGGAAAAGCTAGACTTATACCCCAATAACAAATTAATTTATCCACAGCTCCCACGAAACTTGACAGAACAAAAAAGAATGTTGGATGATTCCTCACACAGGTTGCACAAAGGGCAGTTAGTATTCTCCCCAATAGTAACCCCCCTTTTCATCAATTCCATCCTAACAGCAACTTTTTGATGAGATAGCTGCCAAAGGAAAGTCTCCACTCTAGGAGGGACTAATCCCAGCCATACACAGTTTCTCCACTGAAATGTATCCTCATACACAGTCTCTAGAGATTTCCTGCACTCTTTGACAGAAAACAACCCGTCCCCCAAGCCACCCCAGCAGGTAATCCTCCAAAGATTCAATCAATTAAGTCTTTAAGGCTGTTCAATACTCACCACTGCAACAGTTCCCAATCACATAGATTCCTCCTCGTTTTATATTCCATTCCCATTCAAGTTAAAAACCAAATCAGCCACATTCCTACCTTTGTTAGTAGAAAGTGCAAAAATCTTAGGAAAAAGAATTTTTGATGGATAATCCCCAAGCCAAGTATCCTTCCAAAAAGAGACAGATTTTCCATTCCCTATTTGTATTTTTGCATGAGATCTAAGGCACCCTCCAATGAAGTCATTCTTTGAGAAGTTATTGACAATTCCCCTCTAAATCCACGAGTCTTTATGAGATAGGGCCTTAGTGATATTCAAGGAATGACAACTCACATTATGTTTACTACAAAAGAATTTCTTCCATATCGAGTCTTTCTCATTTGCAAACTTCCATACCCACTTCCCCAACAACGCTCGATTGGTAAGATTCAAATCAACAACTCCTAAGCCTCCACCATTCAACGGCTTACAATCTTTTTCCAACTAACCCAATGCATTCTCTTCTTCTCGCCCCCTCCACCCCAAAGAAATTCGACATCAAAGAAACAGTAGATGGCATCTTGAAAATAGATAGGTAAAAAATGGGTAAAGATGAAAGTACCGACTTTATCAGCACCAATCTGCCAGCCATGGATAAAGATGAAGCTTTCCACCCCGCCAATTTTCTACTAAAATTTTCTATGACTGGCTCCCACAACTTCTCTGAATTCTTTTTTGCACCCAAAGGGAGGCCTAAATAAACTGTCGGGAAAGAGCCAATAGAACAGCCAATATCCCTCGGCCATTCTTCAAGTCATTCTCCATATTAATACCGTAAAGTTACTTTTGGCTAAATTGAGATGGAGCCCCGTCATTAGGCTAAAGATCCTCAAAACTCTTCTAACATTCTTGATCTGAGTAATAGGCTCGACAGAATAATTAAATCGTCCGCAAACTGTAGATGTGATAATTAAAGGAATTTTGATCATTGCCGAACGAAAACCCTTGAAACAGACCCAAATCCACTGCTTTTGTAACATCTTGTGAAGCAATTCCCCAACAACATTGAACAGAATAGGAGAGAGGCTACAACCTTGCCTTAATCCTTTATCAATAAGAAATTCTTCTGTAGGGGACCATTGACTAGGACCGATATAGAAGCTGTGGAAATCTTGTGTGATCCAAGAACACCACCTGTCACCAAAACCCATCTCTTTCAATAATCTTATAACAATCTGCCATTCCACTGTGTCATACGCTCTGCTGAAGTCTACTTTAAAGACAACCCCTTTAAGCCCTTGTTTCCTCCAACTGTCAATTCCTTCATTGGCCACACAAGCACATTCTAACAATTGTCTCCCCGGAATAATGCAACTGATTAGGACTGATAATATCTTTGACACAAGAAATAAGTCTCTTTGAAAGCACTTTTGATAGAATTTTATATAGGCTGCCCACAAGACTAATGGGTCTATAGTCTCTATACTCTCCGGATTACCTTTCTTTGGGATCAAGGTAATAAAGCGTGGTTAACCCGTGTACCCACTCCTTTCCTTCAAAGAAATCTGAAAAAAACTCCATAATCTGCTCCTTTAAATGATTCCAGTATTTCTTATAAAACCATGGTAAAACCATCCGAATCGGGAGCTTTAGCACTATCTGAAGAAGAAATTGCATTCCACACTTCTTGCTCTGTAAATTCCTCCTCCATATTAGCCCTTTGAACTACTGAAATTTTCATAAAATCAAAATCTAGACCCTCAACCTCAAAAGCTGCTTTTGTGTTGTATGCAGTCCTGAAAAACTCATAAACACTGTTTTTTATCTTAACTGGATCCGAAATTACCACCCCTTCAATTTTCAAAGAATGAATGGTATTAACACTATTTCTTTTCATAGCAGTAAGGTGAAAAAACCTTGTATTTTTGTCTCCGTTTTTTATCCATCTATTTCTGAATTCTGCCACCAAATGCTTTCCTCGATCCTTAACAATCTCCACACTCATTTTGAATTCAATCAACTGATCCATTCCCCCTTAGACAACATTCCACCTTGTGACTTTAAATCCAATTCGTTATTTCACTTCAAGCAGCGAATAGAGTCTGCCAGCCCTAATGACTGCTGCCAGGCCAATTTCTGATCCTCTTCTTCGCATTTTGTAACAACCTGAAAATCCCCCCATTATTCCTCTTCTTCTTCTCATCAACCACACAGCCTTCAACCAAATCATCAAACCCTTTCTCCTCTAACAGAAAATAAAAAGCTTAAAGGGTTTGGGGCCCCAATTGTGACTAACATCCTCCAACAAAATCGGATTATGATCTGAAATTGATTTTGGTAAAAGACATTGTGAAATCCTAGGAAAGCTGTTCAAAAATCTGCCACAAATTAGAAATCGATCTAGTCTAACCCATGTTGACAACTCTCTGTTACTGCACCAGGTGAAAGTTCCTCCTGACATAGGCAGATCCATAAGGTTAGCTTGTTGTATAAATGATCTAAGAGTTTCAATAGCATGCCAATTTTGTGATCTCCCTTGCTTTTCTTCCGGAACAAGATACACATTGAAATCACCCCCAATACAAACTGGCAAATTCGTCGAATTAACATAACTCAGCAGCTCCCCAATGAATTCCTCCTTTTCAGCTTCAATAACAGGTCCATAGATATTAATGAAGACAAACTCCTTTTGGCCATTCAAAAAATTCCCCACCCCACTAATGAGATAAACCTACTATGAACATGCTGGTTAGTGACATTGAAAACGTTTTCATTCCACATACTAATCAATCCACCCTTAACCCCTGTGCAGGAGAAACCACCACCCCTTCAGCAAATTTCCTCCAATCCTCCTTATGATCGACGCATGACACTGATCAAGTTTAGATTCTTGAATAAAAATCATAATAGGTTTTAACTTCTTAACTTGCCTTGCCACTACTAAAGATTTTTCCCTCCTCCCTAAACCTCTAATGTTCCAAGGATACTAAATTTCTGCATATACTGACTTCAAAACCAAACACCAAAAATATTCCCTACGAACCCACATATCACCCTTCCCTTCCTACCTCCAAACCATTTTCAAGACTCACAATTTTATCAATAAAAGCCTTCTTCCTTCCTTGAAGAGATACCTAACATCTGACACACTTCCCATGTGGCCATTGCTTCCTCTACCAGCTTCGAAAAATGAGATGAAGAAGCAGTAGAAATATTAACCATTTCCAAAGCTTCACTGATTAGAGCTCTTCTCTTCCTTCTTTTATTAAATCGTGACCCTGAAGCAGTGTAAGAAGCTGCTGCCAGACTCTCTAAACGATTACTGCCAATTAATGGGACGTTCGATGTCCTCTGAACATCTGTTGAACAATTGATATCCTCTTCCTGTCCATTTCCCCTATATTCTGAAAAACTCTGCTGAAAATATCTGCTTTCAGTTGCCTTCTGTCCTTGATTCGGATTAACCTCTGAACAAAATAATTTTGTTTCGTTATTTGCACCTAACCAAATTCGTCTATTTCTTGACCTTCTATAGACTCTAGCATATCGACCTCTTTCTCTCCTACCACCGGGTGCACTTCTAATTGACAGGCTAGCATAATTTGAATGTCCCATTCTCCAACTTTAGAGCCCTTCATAAATCCTACATTATTATCCTCCTGCATGAAACTTCCTTCTGCTATCTTACCACGAGCAGAAATTTCCTCATCCTGGCCTTCCTCATTATCCTCTTCTAGAATATTGCAACTATCATCCTCCATTAATTCATAAAGAGACTGGAACTTGTTATGTTTATCCAATCCCTCCCACTTAATTTTAACAGCAGGAATTAGTTTAGAGACTGGTGAAGATGATTCCCCATCAGATTGGGCTGGATATAACTGATCCACTTTCTTTCGCAGCCCAAGCCCTGCATAATCTCTATAGGACTTAGACTCAAATTCAAATTCAAAATTGTCTGACAGCCCATTAATGCTAGGTTTCGTGTGGGACTTATGTTTTCAGAGATTGTTCCCCGCCACCTTCTAACCTCCCTCTTTCTTGACCCTGCTGTAACCACGTGTCCACCTTTGACCCTACTTCCTCTACTGACTTCTCCCACTTGTCTTCTTCTTTCTCTGAGTTAACTCCATCCTTCTTCGAAAAATCATCACAACTCCCATCATCAAAATACTTCTGCAGCTCATCTCCGATTCCAGCTTGGAAACTGTTACACTTCGGTCCCGTATTGATTATGACTTTAAAAGATCTTCCATATGACCCTACATAAGTATATTCGGGTATATCAACAGGACTTGCTACCCTTAACATTAACCTCGCTGATGAAATATCATCTCTATTCTTTGTCTCCTCCATGATACTCACAAGCTCTCCCCACATTCCTGCAAGTTTCTCCAGAAAAGGTGCAGACCAACTAAGAAATGGTAACCCCACCAACTCTACCAAACAGTACGCCAATGGAACTCCTTCATTTAACAATGGAGATAACCACTTAAACCAGAGGAACAACTTCTCTCTAATGTTCGACCAAGCCTTTAAGAAATCTTCATTAGAACTGAATATAACGATACAAGCATTCTTAACATAACCCCATCTTACTATTTTGACCTCATAACCCTCCTTCGCCAGGGCCTTTTTCACCATATCAGACTGAAGGGGATATTTCAAAACCCCTGTTAAAGAATTCTTCACCCAGCTTGAATCTTCAGAAGGAATGTGCATTTCCCATACATTCCTTATCCCATTAGCTTTCAAATTTTATCCTCCCTTAATTCCCGCTCTATCATGCTCCGCTCTTTCCTCCACATTCACCACCTCCTTATACGTTCTGCCGTCCCTCGGGCTGCTCGGCTTTCCCATTACCACCTGCTGCCTACCTTCCTCCCCTCGCACATGCTTATTTCCTTCCACCTGGAACTTTTTGTCATCAGTTGCTCTTCTCCTTTCCTTCTTATACTTTGCAACCCCCACTGAGACTCTTTTCCCATCTATCAGCGTTCCATTGACGTTCTGAATCGCTCTTCTACAACCTTCCTCCATCGCATATTGCACAAAGGCAAACGTTGATGACTTATAGTTTGGTTTCACCATAAAACTTGGAATGTAGACCCTTAAAACACGACCATAAATATCAAAGATCTCTCGTAACTCTCTTCTAGTAACTCTCTTACTAAGATTATCTACGAAAACAGTCCATTCCTTATCGGAAGATGAACGACCTGTCACAAACTCTCTATTTCTCTCTCTGCCTTTCTCACTCATGTTTTTTGGTTCATGCAAATAACCTATATTCACTTATGATATAATCAATCTTTCCTGATGCATTCCCCATGTGTTTTGTATCTCTAAATCCAATAGTCACAGCAATGCAGAGGATCATGAGCACCCAGTTGATTTCAGGGATATAAATCTGGCCATGTATCTTATCAGAAGTGTGAATGACCTTCACTCTAGGGAAACAACTAAGTGACTGGCTCTGATTGATTATTGAGAATGTTCCACTAATGATTGCTTCGCTTCCCACAACAGAAGCGAGAATTGCTATTATGAGAACAGGCCATCTCACACTTTCTGTACAGTACACAAAAACAAATCAAAACAAATGAATAATCAAGTTTATTGGGACATGCACAGTGCTATCGTCGTTCACTCTGTTTTCTTTTACTTGTCCCTATTTTCATCAGTCAGCTTCCTACAATGTCTTATTGGTATTGAGAACAGATGAGGTATACCTGGAACTGAGACATAGAAGCTAATTTGGTAACTCGTATGATGATGTTGAGACAAGAACGCAGCTTGACCCATGTATGCTAGTATAAGAGCCGGATAAACCAGAAAGGTAAAAGCAGTCTGCAGCAAGACAGTTAAATTTCATTTTAGTTGCTAGTTTTGAACTCATGTGAATAGAAAAGATATCATCATCAAATGAAAACTCAGAAGAGGATTTATGTTAGTTGCCTGAATTGCAGAATAAGAGAAGTGACCAAGATCAGCAAACATTGCCTCGGAGCCTGCATGGATGGCATTTGTTGGCTTGTCAGTTTTCACAAAGAACCAAATTTAAGGTAATGGTATTAATTATCCATATACAGCGGGTTTTGGAGAGACTTTCAGATGGTCTACTAACGATTTAGCCTGAAGACAAAATAAACTGATAGAACACAGATTTCTTGTTATCTGAAGTACTACTGCAAGTACATTGGACCTGGAAATTTAAACCATGCCAAATGTTCTGTTCAAAATGATAGGAATCCTTCCTTTGGTATAATGTGAGTAAAACTCTATGATCATTGTTGAAAGGTTACCTCAATTTGCTAAAAATACTAGATCCACAAACATCAAGATATCGACTTATCATGACCATGAATTAAACTTAAACATGGGCAAAAGTTAACTTATGCACCAGACATGGATTATTTTGAGTAAGGAGATTTTATTGATCCTAAAAGCTTTGAAGTGGCCAAAAGACACAATACAACATGAAAATTTATCACATGTATGCATGTATGTTCCAAACGCACCTGTTATGCAGAGCAGTACATCCATCCACCTTTCCTAGTCTTCTTCAAGAACTTGAACATGTAATATGGAGAAAGAGCTTGATAGACATGCGGGTTCCAGTGGATTATATTAAATAACCCAAGGGCACTTATGCATAGTAGCCACATTAACACAATCGGAGCAAAGAAAAATCCAACGCGATGTGTGCCATAGTGTTGAAGTGCAAAAAGACACACCAAAATGAAGCAAGTGATTGGAATAACTGCATCTGTAAATGAGGCCAAGAATTTCAGATGATGGGATAGTATATTAGAGAAAAGACAGGAATAAAGTATGCATATGTCTAAACCGAGTATAGCTACAGACAAAATAACTTATCTTTCTAATAACCAGCATGTAATATTTTGGAAAGTCAACAAGACCTCATGATGGAGAAAGTAAAAGACAAACATGAATATCACTCTGAATGCGAATTGAAAGAGTTTGATAATCAGGAAACTAAAACCTGCTTTTACATTCTTGCTTTACAAAATACTCCAAGTGTTTTCAGTTAATATGAAGAAGGTTTGGCTCAGACATAATATCAGAGATTTCAATGGGACTGAATAAGAGAAGAATATCTAAAATAGCAAGATCAGGAGCTTACAGTGGTGATGTTCCTTGGACATGGATAACTCAAGGCCAGGCACAGCAGAGAAAACTACAATATAAGATTATAGTAATTAGTTGGTAACTAGGAAAAATCGGTCACAAATTTAAGCAACTGACTGCTACGAGGTTTACCAGAAATTGCTGGAGTGAGAACTCCATCTCCGATTACCATACATGTACCGAGAAGAACCAAGATTAATAAAGCAGTGTGCAAGACTTTATGCTTCTCAAGGTACTGTTTTACTCCTGAGCTACCCTTTTTCTCGGGATGGTGCTCAAGTTTATACGTAGAGAGTGCTTCATCAGCTACCTGTCTGATGGGCAGAAGACTAACTTTTGCATGGCGGCATATCAGAGAATATAATGCAAAAGTACCTCCTGCAAAGAATCAAAACCATGAATAAAACGCTTCGATTGAATGGCTAAACAATATGGAAGACAAAATTGTTTAAATGCTTACCCTCTCCATTGTCATCTGCTCGAAGAACAACAAAAACATACTTGAATAAGGGGACTAAAGTAAGAGTCCAAAAGACAAAGGATAGAACACCATAAATCTCTTCCTTTGTCTTTGAATGTTGAATGTCTTCAGCAAATGTGCTCTTGTAGACATAAAGAGGCGAAGTGCTCAGGTCCCCATAGACTACACCAAGGCTTTGGTATGCTAAAAGCAATGCAGTCTTCCAAGAATCCTTCTGCAACAAAATTCCAGAGTAAGCAATTCTCCTAGAACTTAACTAATTAACCGAAAATCATACCATGTAATTCAATCGATAACTGCATAAATCTTTATCACAGAATCTAAGCCAGCCTGTTCCTAGAAACCAAAATCTTAATGACCAACAACATCGAATGTTTTGAAAGTTAAACAAACCTTTGAAGCATCCGAGGACTTCCCAAACTCAATATCCATGATAATTATGCCTCAATCTTCAGCCTGAGTTTCTTGCAATTGAACAGAATTAGTTGCAGATCAAAACTGAAATGATATGCCAAACTCAAGTGGCACAATCCAACACCATGAATTCGAAAGAAGGAATAAATAAACCAATGAACTTTGAAGATGAAATTTCCAAAGATATTACTTTATACAACCGCAAATAGAGGAGATAAAAAGCATGTCACATTCGCTCACATGGCTTCGATACCTCTACAAAATCCCCCACCAAACTCATTGAAAACTATGCCCATCTCTAAAATTAAATCTCGCAAAAAGGAAGATAACATGGAGCCAGGTGACACCCCAGATTCCAATTACTAGAAAAGTATGGAACTTTAAAAAGGAGTTGAAGCTCAACTACACTAGAATTCTTCAAGAGAGATCCTTAAATGCACAAGGTACCTCATTTATTTCCTTTCTATTTCTTCTATATAAATATAGTATTTTCTTTTTCTTTTCTGATTATTTTTTTAATCCAAAAACCAAACGTTGAACTATAACAGAACCATTAACCCACAAAGGGCAAAGAAGTAGAGGATTATAAAAAAAAGGATTAGGGAAAATCAATATAACTTTCACATAAAAACTTTGCTGGAAAAAAAAATCCTTTAAGTAGATATATAAAGAAACTTACCTGGGTCTTATCTTCTTTACTAACTACTTCTGGTCAATCCAATGGCTACAAAATGGAACCCTTGCTGCATTTAAGCAATGGAGTCTGGAAAAGCTTGGTACTTGTAATATAGTAGCTGATATGCGAGGTCTATCACTATAATAAGCATGTGAAAAGATTTGATTTTTATGAAAGGAAGTGATGTTTTAGCATTGAAGACAGCACGAAGTAGCTGTTTTGGATGGATTTGAAGGTTAAATTAACAGACCAAAAGCTGTGAACTACCAACCGACAATGGCGAATGTTGCTAAGTTAAAACTCAAGAAAAGAAAATGGAAAATGATTAGAGAACGTGGGCAGAAGAAGCAACAGAGATCTGATTCCATAAAAATAGATTAGTATAAAAATAATTAGTAAATGAAACATTCACATTAGCGGGAATATGGGCACTTAATAATAGCCTTTGGAATTTGGTCTTTCCCGATGTTCAATCTTGAAATGCAAATCATTGAAATTTGGAATTTAAACTATGAATCCCAAGAAGTTTAAGCATTAGTTGAGTAATTACATCAATTTCCCAATTATAACCAAAAAAAAAAACCTTTTATGTCATTTCTCTTTTATTTCATATGAACATTTTCGTGAACGATAAATGAATGCTAAACGATCATGTTAACAAACAATAAATGAACTTATAAATAAATATGTTCGTGAATATTTAAATGAGTATGTTCATGAACATTAAACGAATACGTACGCGAATGTTAAATGAATGAACATGAACACGATCACGATCACAATATTAAAAAAATTAAAACAATATGAACCAAACATGAACACTTTCAAAATCTTAAAACTTATAATTCCCTAAGTATTGTTTGGTAAATACATGACCCTAAAGCTCAATTCAAAGTAATTTGAATTAAAAGATATAAGAAAACTACAATACATAAAATGATAAATATTCAAAATTACATTAGGTAATTTGATTAAAATGGCAGATATATCAAGTGGGTTTGAGAAAGTGAAGTTTGAAAGGAAGATAGCTTTAGTAGCAGTAGGATAGCTAGTTCTTGCATCTTGGGCTAATCCCAAAAGTTGAACATAATAAAATAAAGCTAAGGGAGAGAGGCGCACAATTCCAAATTTTGGACCAAGTTTGACAAATATTGACAATCAATGGCATTGTCAAAGGCATTTTCATTGGTAGGTGAAGTAGGGTTCTCCATCAGTTTTAAATAGCCTTTATTTTTCAGTTTACCATTTGGAAATTATATACTGATACAAACGTAAATTTAATCTTTAATGTCATATTTAAATTATGCGTAAACTACATGGATGATCACTTAATTATAGTATGATTCTATTTTAACTACCGATCTTTTAATTTTATCAATCAGACCACTTAATTATTTACATATTGTCAATTACATCGTTGGTCGTTAACTTCTGACAAAAGAGCTGACTTGGCATTAAAAAATTGGTATAATTACATATTCAATCCTCATTACTTACACATTCTATAAATTTGCTCCTTACTTTAATTTAATAAATTCAATCCTCCAATTAGATGACATGTGTCACTATCTGATTAAATATTTTTCTTGATTTAATTTAATTTCGTCATAAATTTAATGAATTAAAATCAATAAAATATCCAATTAGATATTTACACGTGTCTTCTTTATAAATGAACAACAGTAGCGCACCCCACGATGATACACTAGACAAATGAATCCATGCTCAAGTAACTCATGCAGTTGAGCCTTTAACTCTCTCAAGGCATATGTCTTGTACTAGGCATTACCTCAATCCCTAACTCTACCTCACAATCCAGAGGCAAACCCAACAACTCATCGGGAAAAACATCGATGAACTCGCAAACTGTACGAAAACCCTTTATCTCAGAACTTGAAACTCAATAACCCACAACATAGGATAGGAATACCTAGAACCTATATTAGATCAACCTCTATATCTACATCGCTAAAACCACTCTAGGGAGACAAATAAATCCTTCACCCTTATTAAAAATTTGGCTCTATCTGACCCACAAAGTTTAAGACACCTCATGCAACATCTCAATCTAGCATCATGCTCAAACAACTAATCCATGTTGAAAATCACATCAAACTCCTAGAACGACAATTCTATCAAATCTACAGAAAATATATAACCTTAGATCTTTATTATAAATCAATGATAGATCTTATCTACCAAAACATCAAGACCTATAAGGTTAGAAACTCGAACTTTTACCTCTAAGCCCTCAATGGGAAAATACCTTCCCCGAATGATCTCATTGTAGATGTATGAATGAGTGGACTCGGAGTCAACTAATGTAATGATAAAAGTAAAGAACATCCATAAGGTACTTACTATCACATTTATAGCATCACAATCCTCACAAGCTCTTATAGCATACTGCCTGTTAGGGGCTCTAGTCTCGATTTTAGATTTGGATTTATAACATCCCAATCATCGAGTTAGTGGCCAAAATGTAAGAATTTTAAATTTAGTGGTTTTAAATTTAGTGGTTGAATTAGAGTAGTTTGAAAAATTCAAGGATTTATTTTGAATTTTTGTGTAGGGCTTGATAGCAAATTTGGATTAGTATAAAGGGCATTATGGTCTTTTCATTTTAAAGGATATTTTATCTCCTTTATTAAGAGATAAGATCGTGGAATGGGGAGATAATCTGGAAATCCATTTCTTATCTTCTTCCTCTGCCCTTGAGCTCCACTTCAAAGGTAAGATTCTGAAATTTGTTGATTCCTTCAATTGTTGGGGTTGTTGTTGAAAGCTTGGGTGTTATGTAAGCTTAAGGAAAGCTTGTATAGGATTAAAACAATAAGAGGAGTGAATTAGAAAGGAATTTGTAAAAGGGGTGTTGAAGTGAATTGTTGATATGGTGTAGTTTTTGGAGTTTTATTGATAAATTTGACTTGTCAATGATCTAACTAAAGACTTAGGAGTATTAGAAATGATTAAGAACTTGGTTGAAATCATGGTATGATTTTGAGATGTAAGAGTTTTAGTGAGATTTTGTATGTTTAAGACTAGTAAATGAAGACAAGTTGGTTTGGATGAATGAAGTTGAGTTTACAGATAAAGAAGGAGGTAAAAATAGGAGATTAGTTAAGTTTTTGGTTAAATTTTGAAATGGAAATGACAAATCTGGGCATGGAGTATCAGTACTAGAATAACAATATCGATAGTTCAAGGCAAAATCGGTTGAATTCGAAGAGTGGTATCGGCACTGGTTGAGGAAGGTATTGACACTAAATTAGGAGTATCGATACCAAGGGTATAGTATCGATACCATTTCCAAGATAAATTTCCAGAATGTCAAAATGGTATCGGTATCGAAGGGGGTTTAGATACCATAAAAGGAAAGTATCAGTACTTTAGTGGGAGTACCGATACTACTAAGCATGAAATGAGAATTTAAGTGTTTCTTTAAGCTTAAATTATTATGATTGGGTATAAGTGATTCGAATTATGATATTTATTTTCGATTGTTTTGTGTAGACGTTGAACAAAATCAACTTCCGGTCAACTCGACATTATAAGTTTCGATCAAAAGTATTGAGGACTTCATTTAGGACTTCAGTGAGGCGAAGGTGAGTGCAACTTCTTGGTTTTGGGACATAATTGAGGAAGGCTTGTGATAAGCCAACCTTAGTGTTTTCGATCGAAAACCTTCAATTTTTTTATGTTATATTTTACAATGTTTTATTCAAATTATATTATATAAGCTATGTTTTATGATTATGTGTATATGATTATGGAAATGTGACCTTTGAACATGTGTATCTGAAAAGACTCAATGTGAAAGTGCATATGCGAATAAGAGATACTTCAAATAATGAATGACAAATAATTATGTGATTAAAAGCCCAAGGTATATATATGAGGATTAGAGGTATAGTTGGCATGCCAATAGTTGAGGGTTCTATGTGGTCCTTCGGGATAAAACCTATGTGGTTCTTTGGGACAAACTTATGTGGTCCTTCAGGACAATTATGTGGCACTTCGATGCAAAGTACGAGATGTGGTGATAGTATTAGTGCACAACCTCAATGTACTCAAATACATAGAGTTCTTAGTAGTATACGTTGGGCATTAAAAACAAAGTATATAAAATGAATAATGTATAACAACATACATTCTTGTTATGGAAAACCATTCGAAATCCTTATGAAATGTTTATATGAAATAAATAAAGATTTTGATTATATAACTTTAGTTGCTTGTACTTGCCTCACTATGTCATCGACTTAGCGTGTGATTGTTTCACCCGTAGGTTTGAAGAAATCATAAAAGTGAAGCTAGTCGTGGATATCATACTCTTTTGAAGATCAGATCAAGACAAATTAAATGTAGGTTTTCTGAAACTTTGTAAACTATTGGCATGTTCTATACTTTTAATTTGAAATGCTCTTATATATGTTTTGTAAACTCATACTTTTGTACTTATGTAAATTATTAAAGCTTTTATGTAAGTATGAATGTGAATTTTATTATCTTATTTTAAATTAAGGGTTTCCACCTTTTTATTATGAGTAAAAAAATTTAATTTGTCCTTATTTGAAAATAATCTATGATTTGAAAAGTCAATGTGACACCTCGGATTCGTATCCGGGTCAGGTACGGGTTAGGGGTGTTAGAGGATTGGACTATACTTTCACTCTAATGGTTGAATACATTATTAGCTCCCTCGACCATGTTACAAAATAGATCAATTGTTGCAACTGAATCGATGTAGAACTAGTAAACTAAGGGCAATCTCCCACATAGAGGTCTTAGGACCAACATCCATAGTACTCCTTTGAAGTCCCTAAACACGCCCCATGATGCCTCCAACTACATTGATCATAGAATGGTTCCCTTGACACTCTAGATATACCACAAATACTATCTACCGAAGTAAATGATAAGGTTTTCCTACATGACCTCGGGATAGAACAATACCCTAATATCCAGTCTCTCTTGGTTGTTGATTGGGAAAGACCCATAAAATCTTAAGTTCTTTTTTGACTGCTCGACCCCTCATATTATCTTAACCTTATACTATTGATGATCTATAACACATTGGGTTGCATGACCAACTCTGTAATATACCAAAATCGGGGCGAGTGACTAAAATAGAAATGTTGAAATTTTAAGGTTTAATTTTGAAATATTAAAAAGTTCAAGGACTAAATTGGTAATATTTTGTGGATGATTGTTTAGTAAATATTAAGTGAAGTAAGGGGGTAAAATGGTCTTTTCTAAGGAAGGATTTTATTTTTCCATTTATATAGGAGATCAACACGTAGAGATGGAGAGAAATGAAAGAAACCTCTGGAGTCTTGGTTGGTTTTCTTCTT